CTTTTTCTCTCTTGGGACACGAACAACGTAGAAGACAGTGGAATACGGCACCTCGGGGAAAAACGAGCGAGAAAGAACAGGAAGAGAGACAAAGAAGAAAGGAAGGAAGAGACCCGTTGGCGCCGATCGCGCCCGGAACACGAACGAACGAGGAGAGAAGGACACAGTAGGTTTCTCCGCGTTGCACGTCGTTGCACAGACGAACCGAGGGACACGGAGTCTATTTTTGTCGGGTGGCTGCGGCGGTGGCGGAACAAAAAGCCTGCGGCTTCCACCCTGGCTCTCTTGCGTCTTTCTCTCTCCCTCTCTCTCTCTCTCTCCCTTTATTTCTCTTCCTTTTTCTCCAGCCGCTTTTCCCCGCATTTCCCTCTTCGTCCCTTGCTCACTCGTCTGCCCCGGCTCACCGCCATTCTCTCTTTCCTTTCGCCACAGCGGTCCTCTCCTCGCTCTTTTTTCTCTTCTCGCTACGCCTCTTTTTATGCCACCGCACAGCTCCGGTCCGTCCCTGTCTCGCGCCCGTTTCCCCTCTTTGTCCGACGCGCGGGATCACCCTGTCTCTTTTTCTCCCTTTCTCTCATCTGCTTCTCCTGCACTTCCAAACTCAACCATCTCCGTCGCTTTTTCGCCGATACTCCCTGCTCCCCCGCCCTCCCCGCCCCTCTTCTTCGACGTGCAAACCGATCGCGCACGCGAGCGAGCGAGCGAGAGGACCAGAACCGTATAGAGGACGAGGGAGCGAGGAAGAAAGAGAGGATCCGAGTGCCGTACACATGAGCGAGCGAAAACGCGCCGCGGGAGAGCCGGCGCGAGAGAAAGAGAGGCGGGAGGGTCCAGGGGGGATTTACCGGCAAAGAGCGATGGGATACGCCGCGGGCGGAAAGAGGAAGAGGAAGGAGAGAAGCGGTGGATGCTAAAGCGCGGACGTGCGAGCGGGACGCAGCGAACGGACGATACGAAGATAGAGCGCGATAGAAAGCCGGAAAGGGAAGCGAGACGGGCGGCCGGCTGTGAGAGAAAGAGAGAGAG